GGGAAGCCCAAGGAACCCAAAGAATAGCTTGCATGGGAGAGTGCCAGGCAGGGGCACTGGAGACCAGTAGGAGATGAGTTCTGGGGTTAGAAGAGATTACAGTGCATGGATCACAAGGTAAAGAGACTGAAGGAGCTCTAGTAGCAATGAGGAGCTGCTAAAGTTTTCCATGTGAGATGACACTGAACCTTTCACATTTCAAAAATCTGACTTTTGCTGCTCTGAGGAAAATGGATTATAGGAGGGCAAGGGAAGAAGCAGAATCTGGTCAGAAATTTGTGTAAAGGCAGTCTAATTAACCTAAATATCCATCGATGGATGAATGGATAAACAAGATGTAGATATACACAATGGAATGTTACTCAGCCATAAAAAAATAATAATATCATTTGCAGCAACATGGATGGACCTAGAGATTGTCATACTGAGTGAAGTTAAGTCAGACAAAGACAAATACCATATGATATCGCTTATATGTGGAATCTAAAAAAATGGTACAAATGAACTTATTTACAAAACAGAAATAGAATCACGGATGTAGAAAACAAAGTTATGGTTACCAAGGGGGAGGGGAGGAGGGGTAAATTAGGAGATTGGGATTGATATATACACACTACTATATATAAAATAGATAACTAATAAGGATCTACAAGTGGGGAACTCTACTCAATACTCTGTAATGGCCTATATGGGAACAGAATCCAAAAAAAGAGCAGATATATGTATATGTATAAGTGATTCACTGCGCTGTACAGCAGAAACTAACACAACACTGTAAATCAACTCTACTCCAATAAAAATTAATTAAAAGAGTAAAAGAGAGCTTCCCCGGTGGTGCAGTGGTTAAGTATCTGCCTGCCAATGCAGGGGACACGGGTTCGAGCCCTGGTCTGGGAAGATCCCACATGCCGCGGAGCAGCTGAGCCCGTGAGCCACAACTACTGAGCCTGCGCGTCTGGAGCCTGTGCTCCACAACGGGAGAGGCCGTGACAGTGAGAGGCCTGCGCACCGCGATGAGGAGTGGCCCCCACTCGCCGCAACTGGAGAAAGCCCTCGCACAGAAGCGAAGACCCAACACAGCCCAAAATAAATAAATAAATTAAAAAAAAAAAAAAAGAGTAAAAGATGAGGGTAGCTTAGACGGGCACAGTGGAGATGGTGAAAAGAAGGATTTAAAATGTATTTTGGAGGCATCTTTGACAAAACTTTCTGAAAGACTGGACGTGAGGGGTGAATGAAAGGGAGGAAACAAAAATGATGCCAAGAGTTTTGGCGCAGGCAACTGGTTAGATGATGGAGGAAGTTATGACATAGAAGAAACTAAACAAGAAATTTCTGGGTCTGAGTATTGATTCTTAAGTTTTGCTTTTGATATCTGAAATGGCAACTAAACATCCAATGAAGATGATGAGTGGGTTCAGGGAAAAGTTTAGGGCAGGAGATAAAAACTTGGGAGTCACTCACATATACTTGGTGTTTAAAGCTATGGGACTAGATGAAATCAGCATGGGAGTCGGGGGTGGGGAGGGAGAGGACAAGGAAGGGAGGGTGGGAGGGAGACAGAGAGAGAGAGCAAGTGAGCATGGGTGTATGCACAAGTACTCAGACTAAATATCTGGGCTACTTTTAGATGCTGAGGAAGCAAGAAGCATTCAGCAAAAAAACACTAAGGAGAGGTAGTCAATGAGGTAGAGGGGAAATGTAAATTCACCTGTTGCATGAACAGAACCTTCACAGATAACATTCTAACAACCATAACCAAAAAGTGCTCTCTGGCAGTTTTCACCTACAGCACTGCTATTGTACCAAGTTCGCTGACCTACATCATAGGACTACTTGTTTGCCGGTTAAGGTTGGATGTAAACAATACTGCCCTAGAATAATTTCCACAGTGTTTTGATTTAACAACGAAATTAAGGAACCCCATCTCACAAGCACACTTCCCCTCAGGTTATCAATCACTGCACTTATCTGGGGGAGAACTGCAACAGAACCATGAACCTGACCTTCCTATTTCACCATTGCGCCCGCTGGCCTTGCTGTCACTGTGCTCCATAATTCTTCGCGGTTATCATATTCAAGGTCATTTTTGGGACAAATAAATTTAAGATAAATTTCATTCCGTGTCTTCTTCTGGATTTGCACAATCTTGCAAAAGTTCTCATAGGTATTTCTCCTATTCTTTTCATTTCACCAACTAAATCAGTAGACTTTGCCATGGCTTGCCAATTCACTGTTCATTCCTTCTACAGAAATTCCAATGACTATTAATACTTATTTCAGTTTTTGAGTCACATTAAGTTTAGCTTCTTTCTACTGTCACTATTCATCCTTATTTCATAAACTCAATTCATTACTTTGTATGCTCTCTCTGATTTACCTCCAACTCACTTGTCTTATCTTGTTTATTTTTTTAACTTTTCTGCTACATTCTGAACATATCAAGGGCAGAACTGTGTCTTACTAATCTTCACATCTCTTATTTCTAGCATGGTGCCCGGTACAAAATGCATGAGCAATTAAGTGCTGAATGAATTAATTAATTAAATAATCTACTAGATTAGTTCAAATTTTTCTTTTTTTAGTTTGACAAAAATGATAAAGATATAAAAAGACCGCTTTATTATATTTTAAATTAGACCCTTAGGAGAAATTTTCCTATTGCTGAGATTCACCAGTCCCCCAAATTTTCCTACCTCCCTTTTATTTCGATATGTAATTTTCATTAGTATGCTAACATAATAACAAGTTATTTTGAGTGACAACTGCTATTCAATTGACCTATGATATATATATATATTTTTTTAATTCTCAGGAACTACGAGTGTGGTTAAACTCAACAGCAACATTAAATGTTGGATTTTCTCTTTTGCTCAACGTAGCAAAAGTTCTTATATTTTAAAATCTGAAGCACGTGCAATTATTATGGAAAGACACTGCAAATCTTATACTACTATTTTTACTAGTCAACTGTCAACTTTGTTGTCAACAGTGTTTGTCAACAGTGAATTTACCATTTTTAATTAACTAAACTCTGCTGAAGAAATTAAATATTAGAACTGAATATTTTTTCTAGAAACATTATGAGCTTGAGAGGTTCTATCACAGTCTGACAAGTGCACCAGAAGTATAAAGGCTGCAAATGCTTCACTGGAAAGAGACAGATATTGTTTGGATGTAGGTAATCGAGATTTTATTTCAATGAAAAAATGCTGAGCCTACAGTGCTCTGTTTTTTCTGCAAAACTCATGTCAACAGAATACATGAAACTAAATCCTTAATTCTATGGTCCATTTAGTCAGCTGAAGGTCTTGGGTATTCAGATTAAATAAATGACTTGCAAAATATTAACAAGCAAATTAATATTAGAGATAGAATTTGAATTTGAGAAATCTTCATTTCTGGTCTTACATTATTTTCACCACATAATCTGATCTTAGATAAGTCATATAGCTAAATGGTGAATTCATATTACTTATAAAGAAGGAAAGGAAAGTGAAAAAGAAATTATAAGTATTTCTCCATGGCTCAGGCCTATCAATATAGACATAAACAGATTTTTTTAATCTCTTTATCCTGATTTAGTCAACAACTTATCCTTACTTTCCTTTCAGTATATTTTTACATTTACATCATGCTCTATACTTTCTAATTTACTTACGTCTAAAGTAGAATTTGATTAAGAAGACAAGTGTAGCTTAATTCCAAATAACATTTCCTCTTATTTTCCAATTAGGGCATGTAAAGATAAAGACTTAATTCACGGCACAGCTCCTAACTGTTAAAAACAGTATGATTGCTACAATTCCACAAATGAAAATAGTTTACTAAGTACATTATTGAATTCACTGTACACTAATATAGCAAGTTTATTTAATAAGCTCTCAAGTACAAAATCAATACTACTCAGAGGAATTCACTTCAAATAGAGTATTCCCAAATGAATGAGAAAAGTATATAACTGTTTAAAGAAAAACAGTGATTGTAAACATGTCAATAATATCCCCAATATTTGAGTGTCCAGATATCTTTTATTTTTGGTTTTAGATAGAATAAATTCACTCTTCGAATTAAATGGTTGACTGATCACAGCATCTCTCAGATTTATCTAGATGTGGAAAAATTTAGTTTCATATTAACACAAATGATAGAGTCCTATATAGATAGAATCAATGAAATTAAATTATTGCTTCAGAAGCATCAGGGGGCTAATGAGCAATAAACCCATACTCTTTCATACATAGAAAAACACTGAGACCAATGAAACCTTTATTGGAAGCCTTTATGGTGGGAAAACAGACAACTGCAACAAAAGAATGCCTTGATTTTACATGTTTTTACTTTAGGAATACACATCTGTTAAAAGTAATGGTCCTTCTTATGGTCACATATGGTGTAGGCAAGACTATCCCTAAATTATGAATGAGTTTTATGTACCACAAATCAACTTTTCAGAAAAAAATGAGCATTAACTCAATATTTGATTCTTAATAATCATATCATTTATATAATTTTGTTGTTTTTTTAGTGGTGAAACATTACTTCCCTATAGTTAATAAATATAAATTATCAAAATGTCAACTAGTTTTGTTCATAGAAAACATGGATATTTTAACACAAACTCGTTAATTCTGACACCTTGGAAGTTAAATTTTGCAATTTAAAAACACCATAAATGTTCCTTAGAATATTTTTAAAGCCTTACAAACAAAGAAAACATTGCTGAATTTCATATTATTATATGTATTTCCGTTTATGGAATTTAAACATACAACACAGACTGAAATATGACAATTTATATGGTGATAACTAGTATGTGATTGTTAATCATCTTATTTATGGTCATTATTTAAAAATTTTAATATTCAAAGAGATATAATTATCAATTGTAACTTTTGTGTATATTCCAAATAACAAATTATATAATGGACTTGCATGTGTCTTAGAAATGCAATTACGTGTTGTCTAAATGCCTGTAAACATGTCAAAGTAGAGCTGACCTTCTCGGGCATTTCCTGGTGTCCTGTTGTCACTGTCTGCCTGCAGCACTGTTTCCCTGTTTCATCATGTGGGGAGGTGGGAGTAGGTTATGGAGCTTCTGTTAAAAAAATTAGAGAACTTTTAAAAATAGTATATTTACTTTAGACTTTCTAAAACACACTGAACTGAACAGGTGCAGGATATGATGAAGAGGGGGGTGGGGCATTAGTCAGTATGAAGGAATAGGCTGTACTGATGGAGATGGACACATGAATGGAAGAGAGGAGGAGTTAACATGTAAAGCATGTATATGGAGGAAATGCACGTGAAGGACTACATAACGTGAATGAAAACATAAGAATTGCAGGATAGATAAGTCAATTAATCAAGTCTTCAAGAACTGTCCCTGAGCATCTATTCTTCCTGAGTACAGAATACTAGAGCAAGTCAGTGGGAACTTTCCTGAGATTAACACTTATTCATTAATAAATACTGCTTTAGTATTGCTACCCAGTGTATCATTAACATAGACAAATAAGGACCACCTCTGGGAACAGTAATCAGGAAGAGAAGGGGCAGTCAACCATGTCACAAAAACTGATACAAATACCCCCCAGTAGTGTGGTGGTATACAGTAGCCTCTGGAAATGAGAGCTATCCTCAAATATGTGAAGGGATGCCTTGTCTCAGGAAACATAGGCTTATTGTATGAGGTGTCAGTGGGCTGAACCAACCTCAGAGAAACTACAGTAGGTAATGGGAACAAAAGACTACACTAAATCTGAGTCACAGAGTTGGTTTCAGCAGAGGCAAAGTGATCTCTTGGCAGTGACACTGTCAGGACTCTAAGTAGAGAACAGTGAGTACAGAGCCCCGGGCCTGTGATGTCTAAGTACTGAGCCCATGTCCATGAGAGTCACACTCAGTCTCCAAGTGTGCAGTCCCTCATTCCTGCCTTAAGCCTTTGGTAATATGTTCCCCAAACACTGCAGTTGCTGTACTTGAGACATATTCAAACTAGGCATAATTAAAAGGACAGGAGTTTCAGTCATTCAGTTTGTACAATCATTCACTCATTCTCTCACTACTTATAGAGCCCTATGCTTGGTCAGTACTAGGAATGCTGAGATGAGGGCACACATTTCTCAGCTTCCTCCTGCTTCCTGTGCTACTACTGATTTACTTCATCAGTAAGAACCTTGATAATGTAGTAGAGGAAAAGCAAAATTATACATATGAATAAGCTCAAGGCGTTTAACGTCATCATTCATCCATTCATAATGAATGCCAATTTATGAAATACTCACTGAGCACCAATTATATGCCAGGAGTACTTCTAGTTGCTGGGGGAAAAAAAACCACCCAGAATCCCTACCCACATTTTTATTACATACACACGGATTATAGGAAACATTTTGGTTAATAATGAATTATAAAGTTTGGAAGCAAAACACTAATTTAAAAAACCTAATGAATAGTATTATGCAAGCACTTTTTGTTACTTAATATTGAAAAATTTTACAGTTCAAACATTTAACAAAGTTAACAGTCAAAAATAAGGAGAACAATCAAATGTTCCAACCACATTTCACATTAAATCTACATGAATACTCCTAATGATGTTGTCAAAAATCAGATTCATAAAGTTATAATGCTGCAGAGGAAAAGCAAAGAAGTGATAAAAATTAGCCTCTCTATATTAACACTTCTGATGGAAATTATGCATCTCTGTTCTGACCTCCTCATCCCGAAATATTTATCCCAAAGAAACACTAAAAAAAAAGAGCCTTAAGGACCTACAGAAAGGAATAGAGATTTTTCCGTTAAACACTACTGTTTCATTCTTCACACCAGGACACTGGAGAATGGTGGTAGAAGTATGGTGGTCCCAGGCAAGGTACTTAACTCCCCTACTTTCTCTTTTTTCTCATCCCTGAAAGGGAGGTAAAAAAAAGTACAGTTGATCCAGGAACAACTGGGAGGTTCGGGGCATCCATCCCCTTGTAGTCAGAAATTCATATAACCTTACAGTTAGAGTGGATATATGTATATGTATAATTGATTCACTTTGCTGTACACCTGAAACTAATTCATCATTGCAAATCAACTTTACCCCAATACAAATTTTTTAAAAAAAAGAAGAAGAATTCTGAACCAAGCACCTAAGCTTTGTCATTAATCTGGGTCAAATATTCTCCAGGCAATACAGCAGCAGACCAAGCTGCAATGGTTGGTGCCCATACGCTCTTCCTCACAGCGAAGTACAAGTGCCAGATTCTAAGTGTGCTGCCAGAATTCCTCAGCTTCATAATTGCTACCACTTTTTCCATTTTGACAGTATAGATTCTGTTTTGCTGTTTGGCAGAGACTGTCTGGCTTTGCACACTGGAAAAATCTATTACCAAACCATTCCAGCCATAACTTGTGGCCTTATTCATCAACAAAACTCTTCTGCCAAATACAAACTGAACAAGTCCTTCCTTCATTCCCCTCATGTATTTCAGACACAGTCTCAGACTAGGCTAAGAGCAAAATGGAAAAGGTTTGAAAATTATCTGGTAAATATTGGAGTAAATCATCAAGTTGTATTTCAATTATCCAGAGTATCATTACCCATTCTAGAAGGAAAATGTCTAAACTTTAAACTTGGATCCAGCTATTGGGAAATAACAGAAGATGATCTGAATTTGTTAGAGCAAAGAGTACGAAACCTGAATTTTTGACAAATGTGCATTTACATTTTTGGCCTTCACAGAATTAATCAATATCCACAATCTGTTTTGATAACTCTGCCTGGAGTATTTGCTTATCCTCCAGCAAGATGCAAAAATGCCCACAGTATAAGAACTGTATGTTGAATAAGTTTTTCACGAATCAGTATGGGTTTTACACTGAGCTTGTCACATTGTCTTGTCTCCCTTATGATCAACATCATACATTTGTATAACGTGTCACATGTAGAGGGTCACAGTCTGGTTATAGAAGAAAAAGATATCTCTGTATGAAACCATCAGATTTAACTAGGAATCAAACATACACCCATAATCCACTATCTACAAATATCCATCAGTTCAATCCCTGTGTGAGAGTACTTTGCTAAGGAAAGCTCCATTCAAATTCTAATCAGTATGCAATTGGATGCACTAAAAGTTCCTCCAGGGAAGTGATAAACTCTTACTCATCTTCCTACCAGAATCTAAGAATCTAAGAATCTAAGAATTAAAGGAGATTTGTTTATTTGCTGAACAAACTTAGTTAAATCTCACCTCTGAGGCTAAGTGGCAGAGGGTTATTGACTCTCAGTCCAGATTTCTCAAATGAATCATGTGTCTGGATATAAAGACTTAAAATGCAGGGTTCAGTCTCATTTTTAATAGCCATCACCTAAATGACGTATTACTGCCTAAAAGAAAAACTATTTATCAAGTACAGCATATCACTATGCTGTTGGAATTGCACAAAGAACTTAATGGAATTGCACAGAAAAGCCTACAATATAAATATATTTTAAAAGCTGAATTTAATTAAATAATAGATCATACATATAAAGCAATCATATGAATTGAATAAAATATTCAAATTTTGGATTATGTTTGTTTATTTTGTCCTAAATGGAAGGTAAAATGCATGGTCTAAATAGCTTTCACGTAAATAATTTGGAAATATCTTTTGGGGATTTAAATCATGAAGTTTAGTAGTATGCTTACAGAATAATTGAAAAAAAAAGCATGAATTTTCGTAAGACAATTTAAGATTGATATTCTAAGATTTAAGGGAAAGAAGAAAATAGAAAAAAATAAATTTATAAACTTTCAAGTTTAAACCAATTTCAGCTTAAGTGCTACCAAAAAGACAATGATAAAATCCAACCATATGATCTAATATTTCTCATTTAGAAAATACCAATACTAACTTTAATTGTGCATTTTATGATTATTCAGAAAACCAGCAATTAAACAACAAAATATGTTCCTTGTTTTAAAATTCATGCTTAATTACTAATTTCCTTCGCTGTATTTAGGCATGGGCAAGATGTATTATATCCATGCCCCATGAGTAAATTCATGGGTAAATAACAGCATTATATGCCCTTCAATCTCTGCTGACATGCTAACTGGATGCTTTTCCCATAATCTTCACAAAGTATACACAATGCTTATATATCTTTCTTCAATAAGAATTTAGTTTCAGAAAACAGTACAGAGGGATCTTTTAACTAATCTATCACTTCGATAAAATGAAAATGTGAGCTTTCAGGTTCAAACTATGATCATGCCACCTCAGTGTTCAATTAAAAAAATACATGCATTCATACTCATACTAAAAAGAATTTAAGATTGTGTGGAAGTAATGGTACATGCATATTTCACTGAATAATGCAATAGAAGAATTGCATTTACTATAAGCATTTTAGAACACAAAATAGCATATTTTTTAAAAGAATCAAATCAAATAATATGCATGTATTGAAACTTTTTTGTTCACTTTAAGGTATGTATAAACTGTAGTTAACATCACCACAAAACTAAAAACTCATGTTGCCACATCAAACATTCAGGGTTTAAATAAAGGGAGAGTACAGCTTTGAAACAGAATATTTCAAGGCAGTTGAATTTCGAACCAGTTACCTTTGTAGCGCAAGGGAGTTTATCCAACTGGCACTAGCAAACAGATGAACAGCAATGGAGGAAACCTACTCCCCTACAAATCTATACATTAAATGGGGAGGAACTGCTTTTCCACCTATCTTTGCAGCATAGCCGTTCAAGGTTCTAAAATGGGCTTGTGATACATGCCATGTACATCTGGGATTAGACTGTAGAAGTATTATCTGAGGCTAAACATCTTTATTTATGGAATTTGGGCAAAGGAGAGGACAGGCCTCAATACCAAAGTGACTAGCTCTTCGTGGGGCCTGAGATTTGGAAAGCTAAGTACAGTGCAAAAATGTAACTGAGAACACAGTAACAGAATTGAAACTGTGGAAGCTTCCTCTAGTTTAAACAATTATTCTAGAAATAGCCCAGGGAAACAGGAAAGAAAATGGAGTAAAGATTTTCAGATAATAAAAATGAATATTTGTACTACTCTTTTAATCATATGAGTAATGTAGT